ATAAAAAAACCCAAACCCTATTCTAATGACTAAGGCCCCTACCCTACAGCAATTTGTTTATGGACTCTCCAGCCGCTGAGCGTCTTAAACATCGGGAAGCGGAGAACAAAGGTCTCACTTCGGCCTAACTGCCTCATGCCTGAGCAATAACACACAAGACCTAAAATTCCGAAAAAAAACCCAACCTTAGGCCTAAAATGCCCGAGCCCAGTTCCCCACCTAAAATTCCGAAAAACCCTCCAACCTTAGGCCTAAAATGCCCAAGCCCAGTTCCCCACAGGTGCAGACGGCCTGTGCATCAGCTACCGGATTTCAGGCCTCGCGCTTTGCGCAGGCGGGCTCTGAAAAAGATTACTTGGAGGTTCATGGGGGCTTCCTTAAAGGGTTCCTTAAAGGGTTCTATAAAGGATCTATAGGGATTAAGGGTTTAGGGTTTAAGGTCTACTTGGAGGTTCCATGGGTAGTTATAAATGGGGTTATAAGTCCCCTAATATGGGTTATAACTACAGTTACCCTACTTATATCCCCACTTATAACTACCACATGAACCTCCAGGTATGCAATCGCATGTGGGTAGTTTTCTAAATTAGGGTCCCTTTTGGGGGTCCTTTTTGTAAGGGTGCCGTACTTCTATTGGGGACCCAAAAAGGGACCCTAATTTGGAAAACTGCCCATGTACGGATCAGGGTTTCGTGCTTGGGGTTTTTAGGCTTTCTCACTACTGCTCTCGTAACACTAAACCCTAAACCTTGAAACTGTTATCCCAAAATGCTATGCCGAGGATTCTACGATTTGGGATGTACAGTACCTAGACCCTTAAATGTAGTACCTTTTTGATGTAGCTTAGTTTCTTACTAGTATGATCCTAACCATAAACTAGGTCATATATACAAAGAGTACTACCTTCAAGGGTCCAAGCAGGTTTTGGAACTCTTGGGCTAGCTGCTCGCTCTGAAGACCGGATCTTTTCGCCGTGGGTAAACCTAAATGCTGAGGGTTGGGAGGCTAGGGTTTACCTTAACCCCAAATACCCCACTTCTTTTCAGGACTTATATAAAGAAATCAGGTTCTTTGGGGTCCAGGTAGGGCTTATAGGGACGAGAATATATGTTTGAGGGTCGAAGTGGGAAGCCTGTTGCAAAAAGGGTTTAGGGTACTCCAACAGGTACAAGATGGCGACCGTCAGATTCTATCTAGACTGGTTGGGTCTTTTTGGTCAGGGTCCCAGAAATAATAGGAAACTAAGGTAGTCACACAAAGGAACTACGTTTTCGGGACTAAACCCTATATACACTTTTTCCGAGAGTCCAAACCCTAGCCTACAAGTGAGGTACATGGAGCCCTGCCTTAACCCCACATAACCTACCTTTTTAAGGAACTGTATAAAGAAATCATAATAAGGAGCCCTAGAAAGGTAGGTTCTTTGGGGTCCAGGAATTGGCAGTCTTTTGAGCCCTTGAGGATCCGCTAAGACCATGCAGACAGGGTCCAAATTTCAAAGTTCCACATGGGAGTCGTATTCGGATTACGGTTTGGGGTTTATGGGAATGATGTTTGGATTACGGTTTAGGGTTTATGGGAATCATATTCGGATTACGGTTTAAGGTGTTCGGTTCAGCGTCTTCCTTCTTGAAACCATATAGAAAGCTCTCGAATCATCCCGTGCCTGCCTGAGCCCTGGGTGTCTGAAGATTGGCCCTGCTAGCCGCAAGCCTCCTCGTTTGCCGTCGTGTAAACTTTGAGGCCTGAGCCTAAACCCTAAACCCTAATTTGGGAGCATGTTTCTTTACATGTTTTTATCCGAGGTCCATACTCGTTGTCGGTCGGGTTCGAAAGCCTTGCTGCGCTTTCGGACCTTTAGAGTCTTTTAGAGCATTAGGCGTATGCCCGCCGCAGCTATATAGTTCAGGCTTTCCGGGGTTTGATCTTCCCTAGACCCTAAACCCTAAACCCCAAGGCGGAATCCGTGCCTGCCTTGTGCGAGCGTGTGCGTCGAAACCCCGAGGTGCTGGAGGAGAACGTCACGTTCCGAGCTCGCTGCGCGCGGCTCGGGAGATGGGGCGCACTGGGCGGGAATGGTTTCGGGCATACAGTGTCTACCCTGGACCCTACACCGCCAGGTAGGTGTCTCCGCGTGTGTGTGTATACAAATGTATATATATATATATATACATACCTATCTATATATATATATATATATTTATGTTTGTGTGCGTGTGTGTGTGTGTGTTTATGTTTGTTGCAGTGTTTAGTTGTTATAAGTTGTGAAAGTAGTATCGATAAGTAGTAAGTACTTGCATGGTGGTCGTCGTAGCAGCAGCAGCAGCAGGAGCAGTAGTAGTAGTAGTAGTAGTAGTAGTAGTAGTAGTAGATGTTGTAGTCGTAGTAGCCGTCGTAGTAGT